GTTGCTGTCTGATAGGCTGCAATGTACATCTGTGTCCAAATGTATTTTAAACGTTTTTGCAATATGGATCATCATAATCTCTTCAATGATTTATGCTAAAACGATAACAGGTAGAAAAGTATGTAAAAATATGGGTTAGAATAATGACTATTGTTTTCCTTAATCCTATCTAATTTGCAATTGATTGTAAAAGCTGACATTGATATGACATGGCAACAAGACTTACTCCAAGTTGTCCAAGTCATCTTTTACATCTCATGTCATTGTTAACTTCTGTAAAAGGCTAGCACATGGGATGAAGGGATCTTGGGATCACTGAGTTCTTTCCTTTGCTGCAATACGGAACGGTCTGCACAACAACCTTTCTGCATTCTGTCTCATCTGCTCCTAAAAGCCACTAACAAGAATCACACTCAGTAAATCAGTCTTAAATTGAAGAGAACATTGTAAGAAAGAGATCTTTGAGGTGTTGGATTTGTGTAGGTGAAATGAAGACGAAGAGAAGCCTTGGCTCTGTTGTGTGACTGTTCGTTGAACCATTTCTAGTCTAGCTGTAATATGGAGATAGATACAGAAGTAGAAGAGAAAGTTAGAGAAGGTGATGGGTAAGTGGTATTCGTGCTGTAAGATTTGTGCACCTAGCAGGAAGAAATAAATGAGTTAGTGTAATTTGTCTGGATACTGTTTTTTGAAGCGATGTATTTTCTCTTGGGTATGAAATACTGATTTTAAGAAATCTATATTTTAGCATTATTTTATGTGTAAGCTTGTGTTGTTGTTGTTTAAATGGCTGCTTCTTCAGATGATGAATATCACTGGGTTGTGTGAATAGTATGCTGGTTTTACCACTGATTTGGATTCTTGCCACATTTAGAACTAAGAAAGCTAGGCTGCAATCCCGAGTTTCCGTAATATGTACAGTTGGGCGCTGTTAGTGAAGCTTTAAACTTAATTTTACACAGTTACATAGGTAGGCACTATACAATCCAGGGCACAGAATTCATTCAGCATTAAATCCAAATATTCTGATCTTGGAATCAGGGAGATGTTGATGGAAGCAAACTGTGACTGCCACCTTAATGTTTGTTGAATGTTAAAAAAAGCGTTGGTTTCAAAACCAGTGCTGGAAGTCATTTTTGCCAGGATGAGTCAACATTTTCAAAGTTAGCATGAGATGGTTTCTTAACTTCATAATGACTTGATAACCGAGAGCAGGAAAGAAGTAGCTCATGAGCGAGCAGAGGAGAATGCTTGCTTTTAAACAATGATCTGCTTAATGGATGGTAAACCAACGATGTAAAACATCAAATAAATGAATGTCTATGGACGAAGATACAAAGATGTCTTTTAAAAGTTAAGTGCAAACAACGGTCACCGATGAAAGACAAAACTTTGGAGATAAAACTCTAGTTTTCAAATGGGGGTTTTGGTTGTTTGTTTGTTTGTTGTTTTTTAATCTGTAGAAGTTTTCTCAGGGATCAGCAATATTTTAAAATATTAGTTTATGTCTTGCTATCTTTGTAGAGACTGGCAAACCTCTCATGGTAGCTACTCAAAAGCACTGTAGGAACGGCCCTAAATAATGCCAGGGAAAGGATAAAAAAGATAATGTGAATTCCAGGAAAAGCTTTACAAATGAATGCTTGATGCGAAAGTATTGTGAAGAAGAGGAAAAAGAAGAAAAAGTGGAACAGAACGTGACTTCAGTGTGACTGTAAAAAAATAACAGCAGAAAGTCCAATAAAGTTGTCCACTATGTGAGCAAACCTTAAGTACAATTAAATACATGCTGTAATCAGCTATGTGCAATGCACAGGTAACTTGACATGGGACATTCTTGTAGAGATTTAGCCAGACCAATACACACAGTTTCAGTTTATTCGTAGTACGCTGAGTCTTATGTGATAATTTGTGTTCATTTTACCATGCAGAATTTAGTAAGTGACGTAGCACTTTTTATCTCTGTTTTCCTTTGTGTGCCGCATAGTTTAACCAAAACCACAGCGCCAGGTTGAGTACAGATTTCAGGACAGAGGAACATGATTGTCAAGATAATCTACTCGATATTTTTCTTCTGTTCCAAGCCACTGGCAATACTTTTACTGCTATGAGAATTTGTCTTGTACTTCATTTTCTCTTCACTACACAACTACCAACCTTATTTTTCATCGCTTGCTACAGGTTTTAGAGGTTACGATGTTTTTCTTTTTAATATTCTTTACCTTTGGCTGTATGAGTCTTTTCTTTGGTGGCACTGGTTCCTTGGTTGGACTGTCTTCACATGGTTGTTCCCTTCTGGTTGTGCGGAGTTCTCCACACCTCCTCCTTCTTGTTCCCCAGAGCTTCGTAGCTGTTGGTTAGAGCGACTTCAGGGGCAAGGGGCAGGCTCTTCCTTCTGCTCTGCATAGAGACAAGGGTCCAGTCTGCCTCATGTTGCATGCTTTTGCCATCCGTGTCCTTGGAGTTGGAAGCCTGTTTACCCTCTTCCCCTTGCTGGGACTTACAGATAGAACTGCTGCCTGTGCCACTGCATTTTAGCATGCATCAGTCTTTGTCCAATTGCTCGATCCATCTCAGGATCTGCTGGGGGCTCCATGTCTTCTTTTTCGGTCTTGGCCTGCAGTACCTGCTTCCTTAGCCTTACTTTTGGGGACTGGTGTGAGTCTGGTGTTGCTGCCTTTATTTTTGTGGATCTGCTCAGCTCCCCGATCCCAGGCAGCACCCTGAGCTGCCTTCAGCCTCTGGTGGAGGGAGTTGTGGGTGCTGCAGACCCCTGCTTGTGGTGACGAGGTGAGCAGGATGGGGCCGTGCCTCCCCAGCCCGGAGTTGCTGGGTGCAAGGAGCAAGGCAAAGGGCTGCTGCAACAAAAGCAATGCGTCTTTGCAATGCTTGCTTTGAAGCTTGTTTTGCATCATTTTCTCTTTCTTGCCTATCTCCTGTGGCGGGTTGAGCGAGGGCTGCAGCCGGGATCGACCCAGAGCCGCGAGCTGTTCTGGCAACAAGGAGACCGTGGAGGTGGTGAGTGCTGGGAATGCTGGGGTGCGAGGCCCCCCCACGGTGTGGGGACTGCCTGTCCCCTTACACCTTGGTGCAGGGGTGCCAGCCAGGCATCCCTCTGCAGGTGGCTCACAAGGCTGGGGCTGCAGTGAGGAGTGGAGTGCAGCAAAGTCTTTCCCAGCTCAGCAGCGAGGCGAGCCCTGTCCTTGCATCTCCAGCCTCTGGATGGAGCCCTTTGGATGGGGCTTGTGGCTGAGGATGATGCCAGATAGAAGACAAAAGCACTTCCTGCATCCCTCCTCCTGTTTATGAGGTGATGGGGTGCCCAGAGCCATGCTCACCCCCGAATTTGGGCCCCCACCCTACAGCTTCGTTCTTGTCTTCCAGCGCTGAAGGCAGACGCCTACTGCTCTCCAGGAAAATGGAGTGGCTGCGATGGGAATGGAGAGGAAATGGGAGCAGTGGTGCTGGGGTGACAGCAGCTCTTGCTTCCTATCAGCACTTGGGGTCCCGGTGATGCTTCCTGCTATGGGGCACCTACCTGCTCCTGCGAAGGTAGGGATTGCATGGCAACACAGCATCCTGGGGACAAGTGCATCTTATCTGCCCTCCTCCACCGGCAATGATGGTGCAGTGATGCAGCTGGGTGCTGCTGCCGGCTGTGAGCAAGAAATGGCAGAAGCTGCACAACATTGTGATGTTCTCTATCCTGCTAAACGCAGCGTTGTGGGAGCCAGCATGTGGTAGAACCCCCCAGTGTCCCCATTCCAGATCTCTGTTCCGCGGGGCCCCACTAAGATTTTGAGACCCTGTTCGTCCCGCAGCTCTTGGCTGAGGATGAGGCTTCCCTGCGTGGTGATGCTTAGCTGGGGGCTGCACACTGGAAGTGCATGAAAATTCTAGTGGTTGGGGGGAGACCAGTTGCTCTGTACCTCCTCCAGCTTGCTTTACGGGACGGAAAGAAGAGCGGAAAATGTCAGGTGAGCAAAATTTTTTATTATCCAGGTGTTCCCGCAGATATGCTACCTGCTTTGTGTTCGCCTTGTATTCCTACAAATCCTTCAATAGCAGAAGAAATAGGGAGGATGATGAAAAAGGTGGACCATAATGCAGAGCTTCCTGTGGACAAAAAAAAAAAAAGGATGCGGGCAGAAAGGAGCCCTCGGCCTGGGGAGGGGACCCAGTACCCCTACTGTGCGGATGGAGCTGGGGTGCCCTCGGCCTTAGGAGGGGACCCCGTGCGTGGAGGTGGGATGGGGCTTAGCTCTGAAGTTTTCAAGGGATCCCGATGCGTGCGGGCGAGGCTGGGGTGCCCTCCTGCGGGGGAGGGGACCCCGTGCGTGGAGGTGGGATGGGGCTTAGCTCTGAAGTTTTCAAGAGATCCCCATGCGTGCTGGCGAGGCTGGGGTGCCCTCCTGCTGGGGAGGGGATCCCGTGCGTGGAGGTGGGATGGGGCTTAGCTCTGAAGTTTTCAAGAGATCCCCATGCGTGCTGGCGAGGCTGGGGTGCCCTCCTGCTGGAGAGGGGACCCCGTGCGTGGAGGTGGGATGGGGCTTAGCTCTGAAGTTTTCAAGAGATCCCCATGCGTGTAGGCAAGGCTGGGGTGCCCTCCGGCTGGAGAGCGGACCCCGTGAGTGGAGGTGGGATGGGGCTTAGCTCTGAAGTTTTCAAGAGATCCCCATGCGTGCAGGCAAGGCTGGGGTGCCCTCCTGCTGGGCAGGGGACCCCGTGAGTGGAGGTGGGATGGGGCTTAGCTCTGAAGTTTTCAAGAGATCCCCATGCGTGCAGGCAAGGCTGGGGTGCCCTCTGGTTGGGGAGGGGACCCCGTGTGTGGAGGTGGGATGGGGCTTAGCCCTCGAGTTTTCGAGGGATCCCCTTGTGTGGGGGGGGAGGCTGGGGTCCCTCCACCTGGTGTCAACGGTTTACTGCCTCTTTGGCCCAGTTCTGTGGCCCATGTCATTGTTTTATGACTTTTGGCTATCAGTATTACACACGGTAACATCTTGTAATGCACTGGGGGTTTTATTTGTAATGCTCAGTTCCAAATATTTGTCCGACAGAGGAGAACTACTTTTCCCCAGGTGGCTGTGCGGTCAGCAAGGAGATATAACTGTATGCAAGGTCACCTCATCCTTCTTCTTTCTATGCTCTTCTTCACCTGCATCAGCTCCAAAGCAATTGAAAACAGCAGCAACAATCCGACGTCGAGCAATGTCGTTTAGCAATCAGCAAAATACAATGAGAGAGATAGAGAGTTTGTCAGGTAGGTAGGTCTTGTCACAACGCTGAGGTGTAGGTGCAGTTCAGTTGAGCAGATGGATAACAGCAGACGGCAAATTGCAAATGGAGAAGTGCAGATGGAATAGAGCAGGCAAAGAAGAAAGATCAGGTGACCTTGCACACAGTTATATCTCCTCGCTGACCGCAAAGCCTCCTTGGGAAATGTAGTTCTCCTCCGTCGGACAAATATTCAGAACTGAGCATTAAAAGTCAAACCCCCAGTGCATTACATGATGTTATGGTGTGGAATACTGATAGCCAAAAGTCATAAAACTGTGACACCTGGGGAGGGGACCCCGTGCGTGGGGAACAGCCCCTGGTGAAGGGGTCTCTCCCCTGAGTGCGTGTCTGTGGTACCTGGTGCTTGTCGCATTTTCAGGCGCTCTGGCTGCTCCGTAGCTGAGGTGGTCTCGCTGCTCTTTGGCTGTGTCTCTGCTAGCCTCTTCTTGCCCGCCTGCTGGCTGCGGCCATGTACACCTATCCGAGGCTGAGCTTCTCCCTGCCCTTGTGCTTTGCCTTCAAGATCTCTTGTTTCACAAGCTCTCTCTGTTCAACTCTGTTATATCTAGGTGGGAAGAAATATAATCACCAGTTATTTTCTTGCAACTTCTGTGGTTCTGCATCTTTCTTTCAGCCCACTCCCTCCCATGTTTATTTTCTGTTAGCTGTCGGTTACAATCTTGCCCGTACTGACAAAATTACGGGTTTACCACACTTACTTTTTCAGGAAGCTGTACGTTTGCAGAAGCTGGCACAGCTTTCCATGAAAAAGAGCGCAGGAGGAGGAACGCGGGACGGAGATTAGGCTCGGCCTGCCCGAGCCGCGCCCCAGCGCCGCGTCTTCTGTCGCTCAACGGCCGAAGCAGACGGGCGGCGACGAAAGCTGCCGGTCGCCTTAATGCCGGAGGCAGTGCCGGCACTCGGGAGGACGGCAGAGCCCGGCGCTGCTCGGCTCGAAGCGCTCCCCGCCCGCCCGGCCCGTTTCCCCACCTGGCAGCGCGGCGTCGGCTCGGCTCCGGGTGCGGCACAAAGCCGTGCTTAGCGGCGTCACGGCAAGCAAGCCGCTAGCAACGGCACGCGTTCCAACGGGCTGCCACCCGCACAGCGCCCGCCCCAGCCGCGCGCCGCCCCGGCAACGGCTTCCTGCCCTCCTCCTCGCGCCTCCTCCTCTGTCTCTCCCGCGGCCGCGGCCGGGGCTGCCCGACGGAGCGGGGAGGTGCGGGCCGGGGCGGAGCGGAGCGGGGAGGTGCGGGGCCGCGGCCGTCGGTACCTCCCGGGGCTCCGTCCGCAGCGCCCATCCGGGCTGCGCCCTTCAAAGCGGCGTCCGGGGCGCCGGCCTGCGGGCACGGCACCGCCATCCCCGGCTGTGGCCGGTTTTGTCCTCCCGTGATATTGGTTTAGCAATAAAGCAACTTGGATGATGACTATTCAAATAGCGTCATTATTCCCTTAGGACAAACCGCGGAAGGACTCTTTGTGGGTCGGGGCTGGACGTGGCCGTGTGAGGCTCTTTCCCAGCCCTAATGGTTCTGTGATTCTACCATTCCTTTTGAAGTGCGGGTTTACTCCTTGAAGTACCAAACTGCAGCTACGGAGAGCGCAGTAACGCTTCTCCGTTCAAGGCTGCTCTTCAAGGATGCCTTTCTGGGAGCACTAGAGCTGTCAGGATCCTTGTATTTCTCACGTCCCTAAACTCTGCATCCCTAAACCTCTGCGTGGAGACTGGGGGAGTAAATCCCCTCCTTCCCCTTCCCGCCCACCGTAAGGGCAGAGCAAGTGATATAGCAGTGTATACTTGCCTTTGTACTGGGCTTGATATACTGAACACACCTTCAGCTTTGTTCACTTGAGTCTACTACTAGCAGTCACTAGCAGCCAGCGCCAGCATCCTGGCCCTGTACTGTTCGTGAGAAAAGTGCAGACTTGATCAATTCCGAAACGTTGCGGTTGAGTATTAAACTGGACTTGGCAGAGGTAGGGGAAATGCTCGCTAAGGGTACCATCTAGTGGTAGTAAGAGGCAAAGACTTACAGAGGCAGCGGATTTCGATTGTGTAAAGCAAATGCCAACCCTATCGAGAAGCTGCTCATCAGCTCGCTCCTGTTCAAATAGATGATGCCACTGAGCAGGACTGGGATGAGATCTCATGCGGCCCGGCATGTCCTAGCTGTGTGGGGTGAGGCCACACGAAGGGAATCCTTGGTCCTGCACTTTGGCCGTAACAACCCCAGGCAGCGCTACAGGTCTGGGGCAGAGTGGCTGCCCCGCAAGAGTGTGTAGAGGAAGCAGAGCTGGGGGTATTGGTCCGTGCTGGGCTGAACGTGAGCCAGCAGTGTGCCCAGGTGGCCGTGAAAGCCAATGGCGTCCTGGCTTGTATCAGAAATAGCATTGCCAGCAGGAGCAGGGAAGTGACCATCCCTCTGTTCTGAGCCCTGCTGAGGCTGCAGCTGGAGTACTGTGCTCGCTTTTGGGCCCCCCACTGCAAGAAAGGCATGGAGGCCCTGGAGCGTGTCCAGAGAAGGGCAGCAAAGCTGGTGAGGGGTCTGGAGCACAAGTCTTACGAGGAGCAGCTCAGGAAGCTGGGATTGCGTAGCCTGGCGGGGAGTCAGGGGAGACCCTATCGCACTCTGCACCTGAAGGGAGGCTGAGGTGAGGTGGGGCTTGGCCTCTTCCTACCTAAAAGCCTTTTCAATATCAGCTGGTTTTCTTCCAACAACACATCAAAGATGTTTCCTGATACTTTTGTGCTTGAGTGTTTGCCTTCCCAGCTGCCACAGTCAAATTTGTGGAAATCCTCACAGGGCACTACAGTGTCATACCTAGAATTTGGGAGTCTGGCCAAGAGTGCCAGAAGAAAAAAGAAAAAAAGAGGAAACTTATAGTAAGATTTCTGTTTGATACAAGCTCCATTGCATACAGACTGTTGAACTCCCTGTAAGTTTTTGCTGAGGATGCCATAATATACCCTCTGTCTTTGACATATAAGGCATATAACTACAGAGTCTGAATTAGTCAGCTTCAGCTAACGACCACAGATCATCATAAAATCATAACCAGTTTCAGCTGCGGTATGCAATGCTGATATGCTTTGTAATGACTTAGGAGAGGAGACATCACCTTCTGCATCATTTGTAGTAGCATAAGGAAAAGGCTGAGGCATTTAATGTGGCCGATTTTTCTTGGTTGTCTTTTTTTTGCTGTTTGTTTGTTTGTTAGCTTTTGCGTTTCAGTCTCAGTTTTTCATAACAGTGAGAGGTTTCAGGCTGCTGAGTCCTCTGAATTTGAAGACCATGACCGGCAGAGCAGTGACTTCCCAACTGTGGCCAGAAATTGTGAAGAAACAGTTGTACGAGCTCAGTGTTCATAAGTCTATAGGGCCTGATGTGATTCATCCTAGAGTGCTGAAGGACTTAATAGATGTTAAAGCTGGACCCTTTCCACCTATTTGCCAAAGGTCGTGGGAGGGCACTGCTGGTTTGAACCTAGATAGTGTTACGCTGATCAAGAATAAGGGAGCAGAGAATGCCCGGAAAACAGACCTGCTGGTCTAAGCTCAGGCCCTGGAAAAGTTAAGGATATTACCTGCTATTGGAAGATACTTAAAGAACAAAGCCTTTATCAGGCATAGTCCACAGGAGTTCATGAAGGGAATGTCCTGCCTTAGTAATCTCATCTCCTGTTAGAAGGTCTCTGGCTTAGTGGATGGGGTGCATTAAACACAGCACAGCCAGCTGCGGCTGGCAATTCTTCTGCTTTATTTAGTGCTGGTGCAACCTCATCTTAAATACTGTGTGCAGTTCTGTGCTCCACAATCTAGAGGGAATGTTACGATACTTGCATGGATGCAAAGGAAGGCATCAAAGCTGGTAAAAGTGCTGGAAGGCATGTGGTGTGAGGAGAAGCTGAAGATGGTCTGGCTGGCTGGTAGGGATGAACGGAGGTAACCTTCTTTGTCTCCAAAACTTTCCAAAGGGAAATGGAGAGGGAGGTGCCATTTACTTCTTCCTTGTCACAGATGCAAGGACACAAAGGAACAGCACAGAGGTATGACATGGGAGGTTCAGAATGGATAGCAGGACAAATTTATTTCTAGTGAAGGTGGTTGAAAACAGGAAGGGGCTTCCTAGTGAGGCAGCTCATGTCCCATGACTGTCAGTGTCCAAGGGACATTTGGACAATGCGCTTATAAATGTGCTTTATCTTTTTGTTAGCTCTCCGGCAGTTAAGTGCATGGTCTTCGTAGGAACCTTCCACCTCCTATCCTATCCTATCCTATCCTATCCTATCCTATCCTATCCTATCCTATCCTATCCTATCCTATCCTATCCATGTTCCTCTACTGTACTGTACTGTACTGTACTGTACTCTACTCTACTCTACTCTACTCTACTCTAGGAAAGAACGTAACAGAGCAGAGATCTATCAGAACCACCCAGGGTCAGAAATGCATCAGAGAGACCTCTTTGGGAAGAGACCAGATGACAACATACAACTAGAAAAGGCCTTTGAGGGCTTCCGCAGCATACTTCTTCACCCTGAAGGTGCCATATGAGGCGACCACTATGGTGACAGTGGTTGTAAGCAAATCTGCAGTCAGAGGTCAAATCATAAATCATGCAACCGTGGTGCATGGGCTGCATCCCCCTGCAGGTAGCTCACAGAGTTCCTCTTCCCGCAGGTCTGGAGCTGCAGTGAGCATAGAAGTGCAGCAAAGCCTTTCCCAGCTCAGCAGCAAGGTGAGCCCTGTCCTTGCATCTCCAGCCTCTGTATGGTGCCCTTTGGAAATAGTTTGTGGCTGAGGCTGGGTGCCAGATAGAGGACAAAAGCACTTCTTGCATCCCTCCTCCTGTGTGTGGGGTGACGGGGTGCCTGGTACCACGTTCCTCTCTGAAGCTGGACCCCCACCCTGCAACTTCCTTCTTGTCTTCCAGCACTGAAGGCACACGCCCACTGCTCTCCAGGAAGATGGAGCGGCTGCAGTGGGAATGGAGAGGAACGGGGAGCAGTGGTGCAGGAGTGCTGGGGTGCAAGTAGCACTTCCTAAAGGCAGTTGGGGTCCTGGTGATGCTTCCTGCTGTGGGGCACCACTCAGCTCCTGCGGGGGTAGAGGCTACCTGGGGACACGGCATCCTGGGGGCAGCTACATCTCCTCCACCGGCAGTGCAGGTGCAGTGATGCAGCTGGGTGCTGCTGCAGGTTGTGAGCAAGAAATGGCAGAAGCTGCACAAGTGTGATGTTCTCTGTCCTGCTAAGAGCAGTGTCGGTGGGACCCGGCACGTGGTGGAACCTTCCACTACCCCCATCCCAGTTCGCTGCTCCCCTGGGCCCTGCGCAGCTCTGGAGCCCCTGCTTCTCCCCCAGCTCTTGGCTGAGGCTGAGGCTTCCCAGGGTGGTGCTACTTATCAGCGGGCAGCCCTTTGGGACTGCATGCATTCTCCCATGGGTGGGGGGAGAGCTGCAGTGCCGTCCCCCATCCAGCCTGCTTTCCGGAGTGCAAACAACAGCAGAACATCTACACTGAGAACAACAATTTATTTCCCAGGTGTTCCGGCAGATATGCTGGCAGCATTGGGCACGGATGGTCTTCTCTAAGTTCCTTAAAGACGAGACAACACGGAGGAAGACGAAAACATCTGACCACGACAAATCCATCCTGTTGAGAAAAAATGAAAGGATATGGGGAGAGGAGTGCCCTCCATACCCCATGCATGCAGGTAAGATGGGGCTTAGCCCTGAAGTTTTCAAGGGATCCCCGTGCGTGCAAGCGAGGCTGGGGTGCCCTCCTGCTGGGAAGGGGACCCCGTGCGTGGAGGTGGGATGGGGCTTAGCTCTGAAGTTTTCAAGAGATCCCCATGCGTGCAGGCAAGGCTGGGGTGCCCTCCGGCTGGAGAGGGGACCCCGTGCGTGGAGGTGGGATGGGGCTTAGCTCTGAAGTTTTCAAGAGATCCCCATGCGTGCTGGCGAGGCTGGGGTGCCCTCCTACTGGAGAGGGGACCCCGTGCGTGGAGGTGAGATGGGGCTTAGCTCTGAAGTTTTCAAGAGATCCCCATGCGTGCTGGCGAGGCTGGGGTGCCCTCCTACTGGAGAGGGACCCCGTGCGTGGAGGTGGGATGGGGCTTAGCTCTGAAGTTTTCAAGAGATCCCCATGCGTGCTGGCGAGGCTGGGGTGCTCTCCTACTGGAGAGGGGACCCCGTGCGTGGAGGTGGGATGGGGCTTAGCTCTGAAGTTTTCAAGAGATCCCCATGCGTGCAAGCAAGGCTGCGGTGTCCTCCTGCTGGGGAGGGGACCCCGTGATTGGAGGTGAGATGGGGCTTAGCTCTGAAGTTTTCAAGAGATCCCCATGCGTGCAGGCAAGGCTGGGGTGCCCTCCTGCTGGAGAGGGGACCCCGTGCGTGGAGGTGGGATGGGGCTTAGCTCTGAAGTTTTCAAGAGATCCCCATGCGTGCAAGCAAGGCTGGTGTGCCCTCCTGCTGGAGAGGGGACCCTGTGTGTGGAGGTGGGATGGGGCTTAGCTCTGAAGTTTTCAGGAGATCCCCATGTGTGCAAGCAAGGCTGGGGTGCCCTCCTGCTGGAGAGGGGACCCCGTGCGTGGAGGTGGGATGGGGCTTAGCTCTGAAGTTTTCAAGAGATCCCCATGCGTGCAAGCGAGGCTGGGGTGCCCTCCTGCTGGAGAGGGGACCCCGTGCGTGGAGGTGGGATGGGGCTTAGCTCTGAAGTTTTCAAGAGATCCCCATGCGTGCTGGCGAGGCTGGGGTGCCCTCCTACTGGAGAGGGGACCCCGTGCGTGGAGGTGAGATGGGGCTTAGCTCTGAAGTTTTCAAGAGATCCCCATGCGTGCTGGCGAGGCTGGGGTGCCCTCCTACTGGAGAGGGGACCCCGTGCGTGGAGGTGGGATGGGGCTTAGCTCTGAAGTTTTCAAGAGATCCCCATGCGTGCTGGCGAGGCTGGGGTGCCCTCCTACTGGAGAGGGGACCCCGTGCGTGGAGGTGGGATGGGGCTTAGCTCTGAAGTTTTCAAGAGATCCCCATGCGTGCTGGCGAGGCTGGGGTGCCCTCTGGCTGGGGAGGGGACCCCGTGCGTGGAGGTGGGATGGGGCTTAGCTCTGAAGTTTTCAAGAGATCCCCATGCGTGCAGGCAAGGCTGGGGTGCCCTCCTGCTTGGGAGGGGACCCCGTGCGTGGAGGTGGGATGGGGCTTAGCTCTGAAGTTTTCAAGAGATCCCCATGCGTGCAGGGAAGGCTGGGGTGCCCTCCTACTGGAGAGGGGAACCCGTGCGTGGAGGTGGGATGGGGCTTAGCTCTGAAGTTTTCAAGAGATCCCCATGCGTGCTGGCAAGGCTGGGGTGCCCTCCTACTGGAGAGGGGACCCCGTGCGTGGAGGTGGGATGGGGCTTAGCTCTGAAGTTTTCAAGAGATCCCCATGCGTGCTGGCGAGGCTGGGGTGCCCTCCTACTGGAGAGGGGACCCCGTGCGTGGAGGTGAGATGGGGCTTAGCTCTGAAGTTTTCAAGAGATCCCCATGCGTGCTGGCGAGGCTGGGGTGCTCTCCTACTGGAGAGGGGACCCCGTGCGTGGAGGTGGGATGGGGCTTAGCTCTGAAGTTTTCAAGAGATCCCCATGCGTGCAAGCAAGGCTGCGGTGTCCTCCTGCTGGGGAGGGGACCCCGTGATTGGAGGTGAGATGGGGCTTAGCTCTGAAGTTTTCAAGAGATCCCCATGCGTGCAGGCAAGGCTGGGGTGCCCTCCTGCTTGGAGAGGGGACCCCGTGCGTGGAGGTGGGATGGGGCTTAGCTCTGAAGTTTTCAAGACATCCCCATGCGTGCAAGCAAGGCTGGTGTGCCCTCCTGCTGGAGAGGGGACCCTGTGTGTGGAGGTGGGATGGGGCTTAGCTCTGAAGTTTTCAGGAGATCCCCATGTGTGCAAGCAAGGCTGGGGTGCCCTCCTGCTGGAGAGGGGACCCCGTGCGTGGAGGTGGGATGGGGCTTAGCTCTGAAGTTTTCAAGAGATCCCCATGCGTGCTGGCGAGGCTGGGGTGCCCTCCTGCTGGAGAGGGGACCCCGTGCGTGGAGGTGGGATGGGGCTTAGCTCTGAAGTTTTCAAGAGATCCCCATGCGTGCTGGCGAGGCTGGGGTGCCCTCCTACTGGAGAGGGGACCCCGTGCGTGGAGGTGAGATGGGGCTTAGCTCTGAAGTTTTCAAGAGATCCCCATGCGTGCTGGCGAGTCTGGGGTGCCCTCCTACTGGAGAGAGGACCCCGTGCGTGGAGGTGGGATGGGGCTTAGCTCTGAAGTTTTCAAGAGATCCCCATGCGTGCAGGCAAGGCCGCGGTGTCCTCCTGCTGGGGAGGGGACCCCGTGATTGGAGGTGAGATGGGGCTTAGCTCTGAAGTTTTCAAGAGATCCCCATGCGTGCAGGCAAGGCTGGGGTGCCCTCCTACTGGAGAGGGGAACCCGTGCGTGGAGGTGGGATGGGGCTTAGCTCTGAAGTTTTCAAGAGATCCCCATGCGTGCAGGCAAGGCTGGGGTGCCCTCCTACTGGAGAGGGGACCCCGTGCGTGGAGGTGGGATGGGGCTTAGCTCTGAAGTTTTCAAGAGATCCCCATGCGTGCAGGCAAGGCTGGGGTGCCCTCCTACTGGAGAGGGGACCCCGTGCGTGGAGGTGGGATGGGGCTTAGCTCTGAAGTTTTCAAGAGATCCCCATGCGTGCAGGCAAGGCTGGGGTGCCCTCCTACTGGAGAGGGGACCCCGTGCGTGGAGGTGAGATGGGGCTTAGCTCTGAAGTTTTCAAGAGATCCCCATGCGTGCTGGCGAGGCTGGGGTGCCCTCCTACTGGAGAGGGGACCCCGTGCGTGGAGGTGAGATGGGGCTTAGCTCTGAAGTTTTCAAGAGATCCCCATGCGTGCTGGCGAGGCTGGGGTGCCCTCCTACTGGAGAGGGGACCCCGTGCGTGGAGGTGAGATGGGGCTTAGCTCTGAAGTTTTCAAGAGATCCCCATGCGTGCAGGCAAGGCCGTGGTGTCCTCCTGCTGGGGAGGGGACCCCGTGCGTGGAGGTGGGATGGGGCTTAGCTCTGAAGTTTTCAAGAGATCCCCATGCGTGCAGGGAAGGCTGGGGTGCCCTCCTACTGGAGAGGGGAACCCGTGCGTGGAGGTGGGATGGGGCTTAGCTCTGAAGTTTTCAAGAGATCCCCATGCGTGCAGGCAAGGCTGGGGTGCCCTCCTACTGGAGAGGGGACCCCGTGCGTGGAGGTGGGATGGGGCTTAGCTCTGAAGTTTTCAAGAGATCCCCATGCGTGCTGGCGAGGCTGGGGTGCCCTCCTGCTGGAGAGGGGACCCCGTGCGTGGAGGTGGGATGGGGCTTAGCTCTGAAGTTTTCAAGAGATCCCCATGCGTGCTGGCGAGGCTGGGGTGCCCTCTGGCTGGGGAGGGGACCCCGTGCGTGGGGAACAGCCCCTGGTGAAGGGGTCTCTCCCCTGAGTGCGTGTCTGTGGTACCTGGTGCTTGTCGCATTTTCAGGCGCTCTGGCTGCTCCGTAGCTGAGGTGGTCTCGCTGCTCTTTGGCTGTGTCTCTGCTAGCCTCTTCTTGCCCGCCTGCTGGCTGCGGCCATGTACACCTATCCGAGGCTGAGCTTCTCCCTGCCCTTGTGCTTTGCCTTCAAGATCTCCTGTTTCACAAGCTCTCTCTTTTCAACTCTGTTATATCTAGGTGGGAAGAAATATAATCACAAGTTATTTTCTTGCAACTTCTGTGGTTCTGCATCTTTCTTTCAGCCCACTCCCTCCCATGTTTATTTCCCCACCTTTTCCCCACCTGGCAGCGCGGCGTCGGCTCGGCTCCGGGTGCGGCACAAAGCCGTGCTTAGCGGCGTCACGGCAAGCAAGCCGCTAGCAACGGCACGCGTTCCAACGGGCTGCCACCCGCACAGCGCCCGCCCCAGCCGCGCGCCGCCCCGGCAACGGCTTCCTGCCCTCCTCCTCGCGCCTCCTCCTCTGTCTCTCCCGCGGCCGCGGCCGGGGCTGCCCGACGGAGCGGGGAGGTGCGGGCCGGGGCGGAGCGGAGCGGGGAGGTGCGGGGCCGCGGCCGTCGGTACCTCCCGGGGCTCCGTCCGCAGCGCCCATCCGGGCTGCGCCCTTCAAAGCGGCGTCCGGGGCGCCGGCCTGCGGGCACGGCACCGCCATCCCCGGCTGTGGCCGGTTTTGTCCTCCCGTGATATTGGTTTAGCAATAAAGCAACTTGGATGATGACTATTCAAATAGCGTCATTATTCCCTTAGGACAAACCGCGGAAGGACTCTTTGTGGGTCGGGGCTGGACGTGGCCGTGTGAGGCTCTTTCCCAGCCCTAATGGCTCTGTGATTCTACCATTCCTTTTGAAGTGCGGGTTTACTCCTTGAAGTACCAAACTGCAGCTACGGAGAGCGCAGTAACGCTTCTCCGTTCAAGGCTGCTCTTCAAGGATGCCTTTCTGGGAGCACTAGAGCTGTCAGGATCCTTGTATTTCTCACGTCCCTAAACTCTGCATCCCTAAACCTCTGCGTGGAGACTGGGGGAGTAAATCCCCTCCTTCCCCTTCCCGCCCACCGTAAGGGCAGAGCAAGTGATATAGCAGTGTATACTTGCCTTTGTACTGGGCTTGATATACTGAACACACCTTCAGCTTTGTTCACTTGAGTCTACTACTAGCAGTCACTAGCAGCCAGCGCCAGCATCCTGGCCCTGTACTGTTCGTGAGAAAAGTGCAGACTTGATCAATTCCGAAACGTTGCGGTTGAGTATTAAACTGGACTTGGCAGAGGTAGGGGAAATGCTCGCTAAGGGTACCATCTAGTGGTAGTAAGAGGCAAAGACTTACAGAGGCAGCGGATTTCGATTGTGTAAAGCAAATGCCAACCCTATCGAGAAGCTGCTCATCAGCTCGCTCCTGTTCAAATAGATGATGCCACTGAGCAGGACTGGGATGAGATCTCATGCGGCCCGGCATGTCCTAGCTGTGTGGGGTGAGGCCACACGAAGGGAATCCTTGGTCCTGCACTTTGGCCGTAACAACCCCAGGCAGCGCTACAGGTCTGGGGCAGAGTGGCTGCCCCGCAAGAGTGTGTAGAGGAAGCAGAGCTGGGGGTATTGGTCCGTGCTGGGCTGAACGTGAGCCAGCAGTGTGCCCAGGTGGCCGTGAAAGCCAATGGCGTCCTGGCTTGTATCAGAAATAGCATTGCCAGCAGGAGCAGGGAAGTGACCATCCCTCTGTTCTGAGCCCTGCTGAGGCTGCAGCTGGAGTACTGTGCTCGCTTTTGGGCCCCCCACTGCAAGAAAGGCATGGAGGCCCTGGAGCGTGTCCAGAGAAGGGCAGCAAAGCTGGTGAGGGGTCTGGAGCACAAGTCTTACGAGGAGCAGCTCAGGAAGCTGGGATTGCGTAGCCTGGCGGGGAGTCAGGGGAGACCCTATCGCACTCTGCACCTGAAGGGAGGCTGAGGTGAGGTGGGGCTTGGCCTCTTCCTACCTAAAAGCCTTTTCAATATCAGCTGGTTTTCTTCCAACAACACATCAAAGATGTTTCCTGATACTTTTGTGCTTGAGTGTTTGCCTTCCCAGCTGCCACAGTCAAATTTGTGGAAATCCTCACAGGGCACTACAGTGTCATACCTAGAATTTGGGAGTCTGGCCAAGAGTGCCAGAAGAAAAAAGAAAAAAAGAGGAAACTTATAGTAAGATTTCTGTTTGATACAAGCTCCATTGCATACAGACTGTTGAACTCCCTGTAAGTTTTTGCTGAGGATGCCATAATATACCCTCTGTCTTTGACATATAAGGCATATAACTACAGAGTCTGAATTAGTCAGCTTCAGCTAACGACCACAGATCATCATAAAATCATAACCAGTTTCAGCTGCGGTATGCAATGCTGATATGCTTTGTAATGACTTAGGAGAGGAGACATCACCTTCTGCATCATTTGTAGTAGCATAAGGAAAAGGCTGAGGCATTTAATGTGGCCGATTTTTCTTGGTTGTCTTTTTTTTGCTGTTTGTTTGTTTGTTAGCTTTTGCGTTTCAGTCTCAGTTTTTCATAACAGTGAGAGGTTTCAGGCTGCTGAGTCCTCTGAATTTGAAGACCATGACCGGCAGAGCAGTGACTTCCCAACTGTGGCCAGAAATTGTGAAGAAACAGTTGTACGAGCTCAGTGTTCATAAGTCTATAGGGCCTGATGTGATTCATCCTAGAGTGCTGAAGGACTTAATAGATGTTAAAGCTGGACCCTTTCCACCTATTTGCCAAAGGTCGTGGGAGGGCACTGCTGGTTTGAACCTAGATAGTGTTACGCTGATCAAGAATAAGGGAGCAGAGAATGCCCGGAAAACAGACCTGCTGGTCTAAGCTCAGGCCCTGGAAAAGTTAAGGATATTACCTGCTATTGGAAGATACTTAAAGAACAAAGCCTTTATCAGGCATAGTCCACAGGAGTTCATGAAGGGAATGTCCTGCCTTAGTAATCTCATCTCCTATTAGAAGGTCTCTGGCTTAGTGGATGGGGTGCATTAAACACAGCACAGCCAGCTGCGGCTGGCAATTCTTCTGCTTTATTTAGTGCTGGTGCAACCTCATCTTAAATACTGTGTGCAGTTCTGTGCTCCACAATCTAGAGGGAATGTTACGATACTTGCATGGATGCAAAGGAAGGCATCAAAGCTGGTAAAAGTGCTGGAAGGCATGTGGTGTGAGGAGAAGCTGAAGATGGTCTGGCTGGCTGGTAGGGATGAACGGAGGTAACCTTCTTTGTCTCCAAAACTTTCCAAAGGGAAATGGAGAGGGAGGTGCCATTTACTTCTTCCTTGTCACAGATGCAAGGACACAAAGGAACAGCACAGAGGTATGACATGGGAGGTTCAGAATGGATAGCAGGACAAATTTATTTCTAGTGAAGGTGGTTGAAAACAGGAAGGGGCTTCCTAGTGAGGCAGCTCATGTCCCATGACTGTCAGTGTCCAAGGGACATTTGGACAATGCGCTTATAAATGTGCTTTATCTTTTTGTTAGCTCTCCGGCAGTTAAGTGCATGGTCTTCGTAGGAACCTTCCACCTCCTATCCTATCCTATCCTATCCTATCCTATCCTATCCTATCCTATCCTATCCTATCCTATCCTATCCTATCCTATCCTATCCTATCCTATCCATGTTCCTCTACTGTACTGTACTGTACTGTACTGTACTCTACTCTACTCTACTCTACTCTACTCTAGGAAAGAACGTAACAGAGCAGAGATCTATCAGAACCACCCAGGGTCAGAAATGCATCAGAGAGACCTCTTTGGGAAGAGACCAGATGACAACATACAACTAGAAAAGGCCTTTGAGGGCTTCCGCAGCATACTTCTTCACCCTGAAGGTGCCATATGAGGCGACCACTATGGTGACAGTGGTTGTAAGCAAATCTGCAGTCAGAGGTCAAATCATAAATCATGCAACCGTGGTGCATGGGCTGCATCCCCCTGCAGGTAGCTCACAGAGTTCCTCTTCCCGCAGGTCTGGAGCTGCAGTGAGCATAGAAGTGCAGCAAAGCCTTTCCCAGCTCAGCAGCAAGGTGAGCCCTGTCCTTGCATCTCCAGCCTCTGTATGGTGCCCTTTGGAAATAGTTTGTGGCTGAGGCTGGGTGCCAGATAGAGGACAAAAGCACTTCTTGCATCCCTCCTCCTGTGTGTGGGGTGACAGGGTGCCTGGTACCACGTTCCTCTCTGAAGCTGGACCCCCACCCTGCAACTTCCTTCTTGTCTTCCAGCACTGAAGGCACACGCCCACTGCTCTCCAGGAAGATGGAGCGGCTGCAGTGGGAATGGAGAGGAACGGGGAGCAGTGGTGCAGGAGTGCTGGGGTGCAAGTAGCACTTCCTAAAGGCAGTTGGGGTCGTGGTGATGCTTCCTGCTGTGGGGCACCACTCAGCTCCTGCGGGGGTAGAGGCTACCTGGGGACACGGCATCCTGGGGGCAGCTACATCTCCTCCACCGGCAGTGCAGGTGCAGTGATGCAGCTGGGTGCTGCTGCAGGTTGTGAGCAAGAAATGGCAGAAGCTGCACAAGTGTGATGTTCTCTGTCCTGCTAAGAGCAGTGTCGGTGGGACCCGGCACGTGGTGGAACCTTCCACTACCCCCATCCCAGTTCGCTGCTCCCCTGGGCCCTGCGCAGCTCTGGAGCCCCTGCTTCTCCCCCAGCTCTTGGCTGAGGCTGAGGCTTCCCAGGGTGGTGCTACTTATCAGCGGGCAGCCCTTTGGGACTGCATGCATTCTCCCATGGGTGGGGGGAGAGCTGCAGTGCCGTCCCCCATCCAGCCTGCTTTCCGGAGTGCAAACAACAGCAGAACATCTACACTGAGAACAACAATTTATTTCCCAGGTGTTCCGGCAGATATGCTGGCAGCATTGGGCACGGATGGTCTTCTCTAAGTTCCTTAAAGACGAGACAACACGGAGGAAGACGAAAACGTCTGACCACGACAAATCCATCCTGTTGAGAAAAAATGAAAGGATATGGGGAGAGGAGTGCCCTCCATACCCCATGCATGCAGGTAAGATGGGGCTTAGCCCTGAAGTTTTCAAGGGATCCCCGTGCGTGCAAGCGAGGCTGGGGTGCCCTCCTGCTGGAAAGGGGACCCCGTGCGTGGAGGTGGGATGGGGCTTAGCTCTGAAGTTTTCAAGAGATCCCCATGCGTGCAGGCAAGGCTGGGGTGCCCTCCTGCTGGAGAGGGGACCCCGTGCGTGGAGGTGAGATGGGGCTTAGCTCTGAAGTTTTCAAGAGATCCCCATGCGTGCTGGCGAGGCTGGGGTGCCCTCCTGCTGGAGAGGGGACCCCGTGCGTGGAGGTGAGATGGGGCTTAGCTCTGAAGTTTTCAAGAGATCCCCATGCGTGCTGGCGAGGCTGGGGTGCCCTCCAACTGGAGAGGGGACCCCGTGCGTGGAGGTGGGATGGGGCTTAGCTCTGAAGTTTTCAAGAGATCCCCATGCGTGCAGGCAAGGCTGGGGTGTCCTCCTGCTGGGGAGGGGACCCCGTGATTGGAGGTGAGATGGGGCTTAGCTCTGAAGTTTTCAAGAGATCCCCATGCGTGCTGGCGAGGCTGGGGTGCCCTCCTGCTGGAGAGGGGACCCCGTGCGTGGAGGTGGGATGGGGCTTAGCTCTGAAGTTTTCAAGAGATCCCCATGTGTGCAGGAAAGGCTGGGGTGCCCTCTGGCTGGGGAGGGGACCCCGTGCGTGGAGGTGGGATGGGGCTTAGCTCTGAAGTTTTCAAGAGATCCCCATGCGTGCTGGCGAGGCTGGGGTGCCCTCCTGCTGGGGAGGGGACCCCGTGATTGGAGGTGAGATGGGGCTTAGCTCTGAAGTTTTCAAGAGATCCCCATGCGTGCAGGCAAGGCTGGGGTGCCCTCCTGCTGGAGAGGGGACCCCGTGCGTGGAGGTGGGATGGGGCTTAGCTCTGAAGTTTTCAAGAGATCCCCATGCGTGCAGGCAAGGCTGGGGTGCCCTCCTACTGGAGAGGGGAACCCGTGCGTGGAGGTGGGATGGGGCTTAGCTCTGAAGTTTTCAAGAGATCCCCATGTGTGCAGGAAAGGCTGGGGTGCCCTCTGGCTGGGGAGGGGACCCTGTGCGTGGAGGTGGGATGGGGCTTAGCTCTGAAGTTTTCAAGAGATCCCCATGCATGCAGGCGAGGCTGGGGTGCCCTCCTGCTGGAGAGGGGACCCCGTGCGTGGAGGTGAGATGGGGCTTAGCTCTGAAGTTTTCAAGAGATCCCCATGCGTGCAAGCAAGGCTGGGGTGCCCTCCTGCTGGGGAGGGGACCCCGTGCGTGGAGGTGGGATGGGGCTTAGCTCTGAAGTTTTCAAGAGATCCCCATGCATGCAGGCAAGGCTGGGGTGCCCTCTGGTTGGGGAGGGGACCCCGTGCGTGGAGGTGAGATGGGGCTTAGCTCTGAAGTTTTCAAGAGATCCCCATGCGTGCAAGCAAGGCTGGGGTGCCCTCCTGCTGGAGAGGGGACCCCGTGCGTGGATGTGAGATGGGGCTTAGCTCTGAAGTTTTCAAGAGATCCCCATGCGTGCTGGCGAGGCTGGGGTGCCCTCCTGCTGGAGAGGGGACCCCGTGCGTGGAGGTGAGATGGGGCTTAGCTCTGAAGTTTTCAAGAGATCCCCATGCGTGCTGGCGAGGCTGGGGTGCCCTCCTACTGGAGAGAGGACCCCGTGCGTGGAGGTGGGATGGGGCTTAGCTCTGAAGTTTTCAAGAGATCCCCATGCGTGCTGGCGAGGCTGGGGTGCCCTCCTACTGGAGAGGGGACCCCGTGCGTGGAGGTGGGATGGGGCTTAGCTCTGAAGTTTTCAAGAGATCCCCATGGGTGCAGGCAAGGCTGGGGTGTCCTCCTGCTGGGGAGGGGACCCCGTGATTGGAGGTGAGATGGGGCTTAGCTCTGAAGTTTTCAAGAGATCCCCATGCGTGCAGGCAAGGCTGGGGTGCCCTCCTGCTGGAGAGGGGACCCCGTGCGTGGAGGTGGGATGGGGCTTAGCTCTGAAGTTTTCAAGAGATCCCCATGCGTGCAGGCAAGGCTGGGGTGCCCTCCTACTGGAGAGGGGAACCCGTGCGTGGAGGTGGGATGGGGCTTAGCTCTGAAGTTTTCAAGAGATCCCCATGCGTGCTGGCGAGGCTGGGGTGCCCTCCTACTGGAGAGGGGACCCCGTGCGTGGAGGTGGGATGGGGCTTAGCTCTGAAGTTTTCAAGAGATCCCCATGCGTGCTGGCGAGGCTGGGGTGCCCTCCTGCTGGAGAGGGGACCCCGTGCGTGGAGGTGGGATGGGGCTTAGCTCTGAAGTTTTCAAGAGATCCCCATGCGTGCAGGCAAGGCTGGGGTGCCCTCCTGCTGGAGAGGGGACCCCGTGCGTGGAGGTGGGATGGGGCTTAGCTCTGAAGTTTTCAAGAGATCCCCATGCGTGCAGGCAAGGCTGGGGTGCCCTCTGGTTGGGGAGGGGACCCCGTGCTTGGAGGTGGGATGGGGCTTAGCCCTCGAGTTTTCGAGGGATCCCCTTGTGTGGGGGGGGAGGCTGGGGTCCCTCCACCTGGTGTCAACGGTTTACTGCCTCTTTGGCCCAGTTCTGTGGCCCATGTCATTGTTTTATGACTTTTGGCTATCAGTATTACACACGGTTACATCGTGTAATGCACTGGGGGTTTTATTTGTAATGCTCAGTTCCAAATATTTGTCCGACAGAGGAGAACTACTTTTCCCCAGGTGGCTATGCGGTCAGCAAGGAGATATAACTGTATGCAAGGTCACCTCATCCTTCTTCTTTCTATGCTCTTCTTCACCTGCATCAGCTCCAAAGCAATTGAAAACAGCAGCAACAATCCGATGTCGAGCAATGTCGTTTAGCAATCAGCAAAATACAATGAGAGAGATAGAGAGTTTGTCAGGTAGGTAGGTCTTGTCACAACGCTGAGGTGTAGGTCCAGTTCAGTTGAGCAGATGGATAACAGCAGACGGCAAATTGCAAATGGAGAAGTGCAGATGGAATAGAGCAGGCAAAGAAGAAAGATCAGGTGACCTTGCACACAGTTATATCTCCTCGCTGACCGCAAAGCCTCCTTGGGAAATGTAGTTCTTCTCCGTTGGACAAATATTCAGAACTGAGCATTAAAAGTGAAACCCCCAGTGCATTACATGATGTTATGGTGTGGAATACTGACAGCCAAAAGTCATAAAACTGTGACACCTGGGGAGGGGACCCCGTGCGTGGGGAACAGCCCCTGGTGAAGGGGTCTCTCCCCTGAGTGCGTGTCTGTGGTACCTGGTGCTTGTCGCATTTTCAGGCGCTCTGGCTGCTCCGTAGCTGAGGTGGTCTCGCTGCTCTTTGGCCTGTGTCTCTGCTAGCCTCTTCTTGCCCGCCTGCTGGCTGCGGCCATGTACACCTATCCGAGGCTGAGCTTCTCCCTGCCCTTGTGCTTTGCCTTCAAGATCTCTTGTTTCACAAGCTCTCTCTGTTCAACTCTGTTATATCTAGGTGGGAAGAAATATAATCACCAGTTATTTTCTTGCAACTTCTGTGGTTCTGCATCTTTCTTTCAGCCCACTCCCTCCCATGTTTATTTTCTGTTAGCTGTCGGTTACAATCTTGCCCGTACTGACAAAATTACGGGTTTACCACACTTACTTTTTCAGGAAGCTGTACGTTTGCAGAAGCTGGCACAGCTTTCCATGAAAAAGAGCGCAGGAGGAGGAACGCGGGACGGAGATTAGGCTCGGCCTGCCCGAGCCGCGCCCCAGCGCCGCGTCTTCTGTCGCTCAACGGCCGAAGCAGACGGGCGGCGACGAAAGCTGCCGGTCGCCTTAATGCCGGAGGCAGTGCCGGCACTCGGGAGGACGGCAGAGCCCGGCGCTGCTCGGCTCGAAGCGCTCCCCGCCCGCCCGGCCCGTTTCCCCACCTGGCAGCGCGGCGTCGGCTCGGCTCCGGGTGAAGCAGGCAGCCGTGCTTAGCGGCGTCACGGCAAGCAAGCCGCTGGCAACGGCACGCGTTCCAACGGGCTGCCACCCGCACAGCGCCCGCCCCAGCCGCGCGCCGCCCCGGCAACGGCTTCCTGCCCTCCTCCTCGCGCCTCCTCCTCTGTCTCTCCCGCGGCCGCGGCCGGGGCTGCCCGACGGAGCGGGGAGGTGCGGGCCGGGGCGGAGCGGAGCGGGGAGGTGCGGGGCCGCGGCCGTCGGTACCTCCCGGGGCTCCGTCCGCAGCGCCCATCCGGGCTGCGCCCTTCAAAGCGGCGTCCGGGGCGCCGGCCTGCGGGCACGGCACCGCCATCCCCGGCTGTGGCCGGTTTTGTCCTCCCGTGATATTGGTTTAGCAATAAAGCAACTTGGATGATGACTATTCAAATAGCGTCATTATTCCCTTAGGACAAACCGCGGAAGGACTCTTTGTGGGTCGGGGCTGGACGTGGCCGTGTGAGGCTCTTTCCCAGCCCTAACGGTTCTGTGATTCTACCATTCCTTTTGAAGTGCGGGTTTACTCCTTGAAGTACCAAACTGCAGCTACGGAGAGCGCAGTAACGCTTCTCCGTTCAAGGCTGCTCTTCAAGGATGCCTTTCTGGGAGCACTAGAGCTGTCAGGATCCTTGTATTTCTCACGTCCCTAAACTCTGCATCCCTAAACCTCTGCGTGGAGACTGGGGGAGTAAATCCCCTCCTTCCCCTTCCCGCCCACCGTAAGGGCAGAGCAAGTGATATAGCAGTGTATACTTGCCTTTGTACTGGGCTTGATATACTGAACACACCTTCAGCTTTGTTCACTTGAGTCTACTACTAGCAGTCACTAGCAGCCAGCGCCAGCATCCTGGCCCTGTACTGTTCGTGAGAAAAGTGCAGACCTGATCAATTCCGAAACGTTGCGGTTGAGTATTAAACTGGACTTGGCAGAGGTAGGGGAAATGCTCGCTAAGGGTACCATCTAGTGGTAGTAAGAGGCAAAGACTTACAGAGGCAGCGGATTTCGATTGTGTAAAGCAAATGCCAACCCTATCGAGAAGCTGCTCATCAGCTCGCTCCTGTTCAAATAGATGATGCCACTGAGCAGGACTGGGATGAGATCTCATGCGGCCCGGCATGTCCTAGCTGTGTGGGGTGAGGCCACACGAAGGGAATCCTTGGTCCTGCACTTTGGCCGTAACAACCCCAGGCAGCGCTACAGGTCTGGGGCAGAGTGGCTGCCCCGCAAGAGTGTGTAGAGGAAGCAGAGCTGGGGGTATTGGTCCGTGCTGGGCTGAACGTGAGCCAGCAGTGTGCCCAGGTGGCCGTGAAAGCCAATGGCGTCCTGGCTTGTATCAGAAATAGCATTGCCAGCAGGAGCAGGGAAGTGACCATCCCTCTGTTCTGAGCCCTGCTGAGGCTGCAGCTGGAGTACTGTGCTCGCTTTTGGGCCCCCCACTGCAAGAAAGGCATGGAGGCCCTGGAGCGTGTCCAGAGAAGGGCAGCAAAGCTGGTGAGGGGTCTGGAGCACAAGTCTTACGAGGAGCAGCTCAGGAAGCTGGGATTGCGTAGCCTGGAGGGGAGTCAGGGGAGACCCTATCGCACTCTGCACCTGAAGGGAGGCTGAGGTGAGGTGGGGCTTGGCCTCTTCCTACCTAAAAGCCTTTTCAATATCAGCTGGTTTTCTTCCAACAACACATCAAAGATGTTTCCTGATACTTTTGTGCTTGAGTGTTTGCCTTCCCAGCTGCCACAGTCAAATTTGTGGAAATCCTCACAGGGCACTACAGTGTCATACCTAGAATTTGGGAGTCTGGCCAAGAGTGCCAGAAGAAAAAAGAAAAAAAGAGGAAACTTATAGTAAGATTTCTGTTTGATACAAGCTCCATTGCATACAGACTGTTGAACTCCCTGTAAGTTTTTGCTGAGGATGCCATAATATACCCTCTGTCTCTACTTCACACCAAGGCTGCTTTGCACTTTGCAAGGGAGATTTTGTCAGTCAAAGACAGGCAGTTCGTCCAGGGGTGGTGCCCTCCAGTGATTCCAGCTCGGCAGCCACAGGTTGGATTACTCCGCCTTCTCTCTGTTTTCTCTCAAACAGCACACACTGATTTGACCAGGCGACAAACAAGGAACTACTGGTGATGTTCACACACAAAGCAAAAGGAGGACATGGTACAAAGAAGGTAAGGAGAGGAGGTTAATGCACGCAGGGAGGTGTTCAAGCATGGGAAACAAACGTTTCTTGGCAATGACAGCTTTTAAACAGGACAAAGACTTGCTTGTGGTGTATCTTGCTTTCATTTAAAACCTCCTTCATCCGGAATGCTGTGAACCCAATGGGTGTATGCTCTCACTTAGAGTCAGGGTCTTGTATCGACATCAGATACAACATCAACATCAGCTCTACTATTAAATTAACCACTCACAGATCAAAGCAAGATTTTCATGCTATGGTTTCAAACTGTGGTTTGTTAAAGTGGAAGGAGGTACGCAGAGTGGAAATGGACATGATCTAAGCTAACCACTTTTTCCCTAGTTTCTCTAGTGAACCATTCATGACAGAAGTTGAAGAAAAATGCCTGTCAACCATGCTTGTTTTGGAGTAGGAGATACGTGTACCCACCCATATAAACACAGCCTCAATATTAAGCTATCTGTACACGTCAGCATTTGTGTGGACTGTTCTGCAGGTAGCTTTTTAGTGAATTTGAAAGATAACTGACTATTTCAGGTCTCCACTCACAGCTTCCCCACTGCCCAGGAGAATGTGAGTTTTCTGTATATCAATATAGTGATTGGTATTAGAAAACTAGAACTAGGCTTATTAAATCAAGGATAGACAAGTGGAAGAGAAGCTCTAAATCTCAGATTCAGAGCCAGTTTCCTGGAGCTGACTGCAGATGGAGCAGGGTCATAGAAGCTAGAAGCCAGGATGATGAAATTCAAGAACTTCTTGACAATATAATGCTGCTCTCTCACAAAGCTGGGCCCAGGCTTATCAAATGGCAGTCAGAGGAGGACAAGCGGGGGGATATCTCCCTACTATCACACAAGGAGGAGGCAGAACAGTCTACCTTTTTTACAACTGGTACTTTTTTAC